TCTTCAATTAACAATCCCTGGGGTGAGCTTACTAAAAACCTAATGATTGACAATTATCCCCAAAGGGTCACCACTTGCCTGCTACTTTAAATTACATCATTACTCCCGATATAAAATTGTGAAGTGTTACTCTATTCTGCAGCACAAATTCTCAGAAGTCAATCTAAAAACAAACCTCCAAATAATCCATTCTACAAATATTAGGTTATGGTTAAGACACTAAAATTAAAACAAAACCAAAAACCCCTACAGGTAGTCTTTGACTTATGACCACTCATTTAATGACCGTTTTAAGTTACAACAGCGTTGAAAAGTCACTTACAACAGGTCCTCATTTTTATGACCGTTGCAGCATCCCCGTGGTCACGTGATCAAAATTTGGGCACTTGGCAACTGGCATGTATTTATAACAGTTGCAGTGTCTGGGGCCAGGTGTTCATCATTTGTGACCTTCCCAGGTTGCTTCCAACAAGCTAAGTCAATGGGGGAAGCCGGATTCACTTAATGACTGTATGATTTGCTTAACAGCCGCAGCAATTCACCTAACAACCACAGCAAAACAGGTCATTAAAACAGGCGTGACTCACTTAACAACTGCATCACTTAACAACAAAAGTTCCAAACCCAATTGTGGTCATCATAAGTTGACCACAATTGGGTTTGGAAAGGAAATCAGGAATGAACACCACTTCCCATCTTGCCTATTGTGTCCAGGCCAATCGTGAATGACTGGCAACCCTACTTCAATGAAGAAAAGCAATCTAATGTTCTCCCTCCAAGTACCTAGAAATAAAATATAATTTGTGTTGCATAGTGGGTAAAGAAAGAACAGCACTTAAAGCACTTTTAACATTCATACAGTGGGTCTAATAAAGACAAATATTTCAAAGATCCATTAGCCATTCTGAGTATTGATTAAAATTATAAAAAAATATTTACAATAAATAAAGGGATAAATTAGTGGTAGATCCAGTGCAAATAGTATTGTTACATTACTGATCACAGCATCAACCTAAACTAAGAAATATAGTCTGTAGTGAGCTCATCTGTTTTGTATAGAGAAAATGCTGGGCTCTGCCCTGGCCTTTCCAATTACTACTGTTTTTTAAAAGGATATCAAATTGCAAGAAAAGTTACCAGAAGGATGGGAACACAGAGTGAAAGAGACCATAATGTTTCTACAGAGAATATGTTACAAATTACATAAGCCTGCTGCTACAGAAGCTCACATGGAACTACTTGTCCTTTTCCAAACAAAAGAAATAATGGCTATCATCATAGGCATTTTCAGCAAACCAGGATTACAACAAAATGGCAACATAGATATGAGGACATCATGACACAAACTCTGTGCTTCCATACTTGCATCCCAACATCTGACACAACTAAGTTGTGTTATTTGGACCATGATATAATTTAATCATTTATTTCCACCCTCCCACGGATGCCTACAACTATCATTTGTTGGTTTCTTGTTTTCCTTATAGTTTATACACTTATAATAGTCTATGTTTGCCTCTTCCAGTACTCCCTGAAGGATTTCTATTATAAATTTATCTGAAGAAGTCTGGAATGACAGACAGGTTCTCACCTTCCATAGCTTTATTCAGATGTTAAGTTATAATACTGTAGCTACCTTTGTCTTAATTTTAAGTACTAATAAACCAGAGGTTTTTACAACATAGTCTTCAAGATTGCATGTGACTGGCAACTTTTTTTTTGTTTGAGACTGTTTCCACTCTTATTTCTAGTCTTACCAATTACCTCTCTGTTCCTATGCTGGTTGACTGACTAAATTATCCCAGGTAGCTAATTAACTGCACTTCTGTAAAATGCCTGGAGTTCTCAAACAATCAGCATCCAATAAACTATGCTTGTCCCATTGATTTTTCTTTTAAATAAAGGAAGTACAAGGTACACCAATCCAAATTAAAACTGCTAAACAGGGAGAAGTTTAATCTTGTTTTGCAGAATTCATACATAACTTCCCCCCAGAGAAGAAACAACTTAAGCTTCCTCTTAAATACAAATCACAGGGGCAGCTAAACCTGCATATTTCATGTGGTATGAAATTTAACTCTGAATCGTGGATCTCACTGATGCAGATATTTCTTTAATCACTAAACAATAATCCTTCATACAATACAGAATTATAAAATGAGAAGAGACCATGAGGATTATCTAATCCTAATCCAATCTTCTACAATGAAGAGGAAAAAAAATATCCATGAAAGGTGGCTATTCAGCCTTTTCTTAAAACCTCCAGAGATGGAGAAGCCACAACATCCATAGACAGATTTTTTCCATTGTTGTATGTAACTTACCATCAGGAAGTTGTTCTTTATATTTAATCAAAATCTAGGAAGGTGCAATTTATACCAAAAATACCCTAGCTTTTATGGCCTGGAAAAAAGTTCCTGAACTTCCCTGTAGTTTCCTTTCACATAACCTGAACATGGCTATCATGTCTCCCCAAGCCTTCTTTTTAGACTGAACATCTCAAGTTCCTCTAGCCTTTTCACACTGGCATGTCCTCAAATCTCTGTGTCATCTTTGTTGCCCTCTTCAATTACTAATGACCTTGTATCACATTAAATCCAGATTTTAATCTAAGAATTTAAATTTCTCTATATAATTCTTTGTAGATTTAAATCATAAAATAATCTTCAGCACAATATAGCTAATAAAACATTGACAACTCTATTTAATAAAGGGCTGGATTTTTTAAAAAAATGTTTTAAATTTCAGAACACTAACAGGAAATATCAGATAACTGATAAAATTTTTGTTTCCCTGGTGAAGTAAAAATATGCAGTTATTTCGGCTTAGTATGTTCTACAAATTGAAATATGTTTCCAAATGGTCAATTTAACCTCAGTTTTCAGCAATGGTGGAAACACTACCAAGATTCATCTTAATGAAGATTATTTCAATTTCTCTTTTTCCAGTTCCAGCTGAGTTCAGATAATGATTTTGCTAACATTATTTATATTTAGTTTGTGTTAATTGCACACAGGCAATTTGCACTCTGTAAGCATGCAGACACATACAGTTAACTTCAAGAGTATACAAAGCAATTGTGTGTACAAAATTAATTGATATAAGTGAATATATATATAATTTTGGATACTAATTCCTCTGCTGTGTACCTGAAAATGACATTATCATGAAACGGAAGTATTTGTGGTTTCTTAACTGCTTTAAGATGTTATAGGAGTGAGGGCTGCATTTGCCAAGCAACATTTTTTTATATAAATAAAACACTGGAATTAAAAGGCTAATATTTTATGCACATACACACAAACCAATTTGCTTGCATAATATGGAGCTTGCAAGAAAGGCAAAACAAAAGGGATAGGAGACACACAGCTGTATGAAATAAACACAAATTTTGTGGTTTTTCTGTTGCTTTCCAGGAAGTCAAAATACTTTCAATTCACATTTAGAATGAAAAATGTATACTTTGATAGTATCCTTATAGGACAAATTAATCTGATTTTAAACAAAATTAAATGATTAAAATAGAATCAGATTCTACTGTTTGAAATATAAAACAGTAACATGAGTAATACCAGAACAATATATACAAGAAATATTAAATACAAATCTAATGTATATGTGCCATGAACTAAAAAAAAACTTGCAGATTTCTGACAGTTCACATACAGAAACCAATAAAAAATACCAAAGATTTGCAATGCTTTCTGGTGAAGAAAGGATAAAAAGGCTCTCATTTCTTTACTAAACTAATTAAGTGTCATATAGCATCTGTTCATATGAAGTTCTATGTTCTAAGCCTCAGATCCTAAGGTAAATTATAGAGTAATCCAGTGGATTTGCACATACATGAATTTCTGGGTAATTCTAATTTTTATCGCATGTCTAATGATAGTAGTTGGAACTGTGCTCAAATTTTCCACAATAACTTGATGGACTGAAAGAGCACTTTTCTGCTTTAAAAATTCATTTATAACCATAAATTAATAAGAGAAAACATAAAAACATAAACAATTTTGGCAAATTTCAAAAACAAAACCCTTTTCTCCTTTATTTCAAGAGAATCCTATGAAATATTTTGAACAGATGTTCTGGATTAAAATATAGGTGACTAAATATTGAGATTAATCTCTAAATAATGAAAAACATCTTTTACCAAAAGAAAATACTATAGGTTTAATTATGGAATTCAGAACACTGAGCTAAGCTTATTCTAGAACAAGAACAATATGCTCTTTATGACAATTTTGGGTAGGTCTGAGGGAGGAAAAGAGATGGCTTGCACCAACTTTGTGCTAAGAGTGCATTTATCCATATATCTGGTCCTGTCTGCGTATTAACACATGTTGCAAAAGGCTCCTTCAAAAACAGACTCCTTGGTACACTAGATCCCTCATGCAGTGGGGGATATCTGCTTGCTTGTGTAATCTGAATCCCTGTTTTTAGTTAACAAAGTTGTCTCTTCATTTTTGTTCTTTTTTTAAAAAAAATAATTTTGGTTTTTAATGTTAATTCCTCAAAAAAGACAACAAAAAGTTAGCAATTTCTTAAAATTTGCCCAAGAAAATTACATTAACTTGCAAATATGTTTTTAAGAGTTGAGAGCAAGCAATTCAGAGCAAGTTGGTCAATTTCAAATCAACACAACCATTTGCCTCAATGTCTTTCTACTGCACCCAATCCCTTTACTTTGGAACATCAAAAAATTGCTTCGTTCTTTATACAGACAGTAAAATTATGAGAACCTGCAAGTCTGACAGTAATGACAGATCAGTATATAGCAGGACCATAGTGGAAGACTGGCCATGGTGAAACATTTCTGTTGGTAACTGAGAACTGGTCTGGCCAACATATCACATTTTGGAAAAACAGAAAACTATTTTAAATGTTTATGGTAAACATTACTAGATTTCCCAAATACATACACACAAACAAGGTCTCACGCTCCCTGTATCAGCATGCCTCCCCCCATTTCACAAGCACCCCACCTTAGCTGCACTCACCAGTTGGAACGTCTATCCCCTCCTCAATGTGGATGGGCAGGGCTGGTTCCTCCATAGGATAAGACACTGATAGAAAGTAATGAATGTTGGTAGTATTTGTCGCAGCAAATGAACACAGAAAGATGGATCCTTCTGAGCGTTGCAATTAAAAATAAGATTGGTGATGACAATGAGCAATCAACTTTCCCCCTGTGGAGTTGCACACTAAGAAATACTCCACTCCAAAACTAATTCTTATGCTTCTCTTTCTATAAAAATGCAATTCTGAGGACACTAGTCTGGGAGAACCTACTTCTATTACAAAACCTATATTACAAAACAAAACAAAACAAAACTTTACGTTGCTGGTTTTAAAAAAAAAAAACCTTAAGAAAGCTATATCTTTCTCAAGTTATTGTATGAAACAAAAACACCTTAACAAGCCTAAGGGTTGATGATATCCCTGTGCAATTTTCCGAACTCATTTATTTCCTGTTTAAAAATGTATGCCATAGCAGTTAAAAGGAGCCAAAGAATTAAGTCATTTATATTGAAGCAGGAAGAAATATATATGTGAAAGATTACCCTTTATAGGTTGTGAGCATATACAGGAGTAACCACTGGCATTTCCAGCTTGATTTTCATTGCTGCATGCTACAACAGCAATAATTTAGATGTGCTGTGTGCAGTCCAAAGATTGTACATACATGGACTGTATAAATGGAGGCCTATGTATTTATACTGTTTTCTTGTTTGCTGATGCATTACTTCTGGGTCACCAATTATTGTTATTAACTGCATGAGCATCCAAATCTGTATGTAGAATATCTGCCCTGCACTGCGTTTAATGAAATGTTCACTCAGATGTGTTTCCAGCATGCACATCCAAATGCAAATAGGTGAGGTATAGTATTTTGATATGCATTTGAGTGCATATCCATTTTAACATAATACTGTGATATGGAATACACACTTGGGACTTGCTTGTGATAGCTTTCTTCAGTGGATTTCCTTAGCTGAACTAAGACTCTTGGCTTGTGTAACCTTTACATATCAAGGGCATTTTGTGTTAGACATTAAAGAATCCTTGCAGGTCAACAGATGAGATCAAAGAATGTGCCATTTGGGACACAGTGTTCTTCAAGGATACTGTACTATGACCCTTTTAAATATAAGGAAACCCTATTCCAGGACTTTTCAAACTATATTCCATGGAACCCTACAGTTCCACAAGAAACTAAGGGCAAAAAGAAGTTTTTTACTCAGATGCAGCCTATCTTCTATCACTAGAGCTTTGCCCCTTGATCAAGGATTCTGGGAATTATTAAACTAACAGATACTGCAACTTGGAAACATTTGAAAGTTGCTGACCTATTCTGCCTGCTAAGTTGAAGATCCTAGAGAGAGGAATGGGTTTAGAAATTTTAACTTTGCCACTGATTTCCTTGAATTGTTAACCTACCCTTGAGATGCTAATGTTGGTAAATACAGGGCATACGGAGCAGATTTATCACTGCCTCCTTTGGCTAGATGATCTCTTTCTCACCCCATTATAAATTAAAGGGAATACATACGTGCCAGACATGTATTCCCTTTAACTTTATTCCTAAGACCCAAATTTCCATCTTCTATATTGTCAACTTCCAAGGTGGTTTGAAGACAGCAAGTATATGCAACTATAGAAGCCAGTCAGTTTCAGGTTTGTGATGGAAGATGTGTGTGTATGTGTATAGAAGACATTAAGAAAAGCCAGCACTTTCTGCATCCCTCAAGGGCCTCTTAGAAAGCAGAAAGTTGGACTACAACTTTTCTTTTTGACAGCTTTGTTGTCTGGCATATCCCTATATAATACACTTCCATCTGAGAACAGGTCCTATGAGGATTTCATTTGTCTCTTATAAAGTAATTTTAAAACTCTGCCACTGAATCTTAGTAATAATTGGAAGAAACCATGCCCTGTCTGAGATGGTACATCAAGGCATCCAATGGGGGCTGAGTTTCTATTTTAACTTTGCAGCTGATTTCCTCAAATTGCTAACCTACTCTTCTCTTGAGATACTAATGTTGGTAAATACAGGGCATATGAAGCAGATTTATCACTGCCTCCTTTGGCTAGATGATTCTCTTTCTCACCCCACTATAAATTAGTCTAATTAAATAGTATGTGCTCCAGGCAAGTGAGAGCAGGAAGAAAAAAGCCACTGTGCTCAGTAACACTGGGTTTGTCCTTTCCATGCTTCTTTAATGGCAGTGGGATCTAGGAAAGCAAATTCAAGTTAAATCCACGAAAATACTTATATGCAGACACCCAGCCATCTACTGTACAAGAACAGAATGTGCACACTGAGTGATGTTAATTATCTACATTCTGAAGTGCTTACTTAGATTACTAAGAAAATCAGCTAGTTCACTCCCCAGGCAAATTGAGAATTGTGGCTAACCTATCTTGAAGGAGGGAGGAAACTTCTCTTCCACCAATGTATAGAGACAGACCTAATAGTGCACTGGTTCAATGAGAATTGCTATGTTCCACAGGCTTTGGGTACAGAACTGGACATACACTGTTCTCTCCACCCCAAGTCTCTGGTTTACAGTCTATTATCCAGAATTGCTGCAGATTAAGACTGATAAATGTGAGCTGGGTCTGGATTAGAAGAGAAAGTACAAACTCATTTCTCCATTGCAGCCTGTTCAAAAACCAGCAGGTTTGTATGAGAGCCTTTTTAGCTCATTCCACAAGACATCCTTCAAGTCAATGAAATAGAGTGAACAAATGCAGATCCCCCCTCTGTTCCTTCATTTGGAAGTGCCAACACCTTGATAAAGAGCTGCCTGATAGGGAGAAAGATTACTTCCTAATTTTACAGTTCATCATTCATGTGGCCAGTGCTACTGAGAAAAAAATAGTACTCTCTCACTCATATTAAATGAAATGGTGTAAAATGGTACAGATGCACTATTTTAGCATTTAATCACTCACGCCCTTCATTCAGTACTATCATAAGCTGACCATGACTACTGTTAGATGGCAGTGAGTGGGCTGCTTTGCACACTGTCACTGTGTGGACACTCCTTGTGAAATGGTATGCACATTCCAGAAGACGGCAGTGGATGGAGCACCAGAGCAGTAGAGAAGAGCACAAAACAAGTTTCTGTAATTCAGTTCTGCAGTTTGGCTAATGGTGGCTAGGATGTATATTTAATCTATGGTATGACAGAGGCACAGCCAGGGAAGAAAAAGCTATTTTTGTATTATAATATTTTATTTTGTATAATACCTAGAGAATCCATTGTATAGACATTTTATAAATATGAATAATAAATGCATAATCAATAGTGTAAGAGAGATGAAAGCTCCTGCAAAAGAAGGACGTTCTCCCTTACTACTTCTTTCATTGCACTACCCTTTTCATTACATGAATCTCCAAAAGTATATCCCTAAATCCAAACACACTGCTAGTTTGAAGGCTCTGGCTTAAAGGAAAGGAAAGTTTGCAAATAAATTTCTGCAAAACTGGTAGTAGCCAGCACAGCAATAGTTAAATATAAGTGTGCACTCTACAAGTTGCTTTTATTCTCAAGGTCAACCAAAACTTCAGCCCCACAAAAGCAAAGACCCATGTTACTAAGAAGCTTTTTGAACTAATTGTTACGGAAATGTAAGTTACCATTCTAGCTAATGAATTAATTAAAGAAAATGAAAAGCAACAAAATTGTTTCTGAGCTTGCCATTAGGTTAGACACAGTGCACATACACAGTATGATATAAAACAAGAGACTCTATACCACAAATGCTATCATAATTTTATTTTCCAAAGCCAATTTGCCTTTATCAAAAGAATATATTTAAACTTAAGAGAAATTTTTCCATGACTGAAAGTACATATGATGCATTTCCAAATCCATGGCTTTAGTTTGTAATGCAAAAAGCATTCCCAAGAGGTATATGAACTTATTGGTTATAATTGTTCAAGTGGAACAGAAAATCCCACAGGTTCACCCACACATATATGGGCTCACATGAAGAAAGGTCTTTGCAACCTGTCAAAATGTACAACTAAGCCAAAACTGGCAAACAAGTGCGGAAAATCATCATCTCATTGGCTTCTTTCTGACCACCCCACATTGCTTTTTTTGTCATATACTCCAAGCCACAAGTCAAAGACGTTTTGTTTCTGTTTATCAGTAGGCTCGTTTGGGGAGCTTTTCATCTGAAGATCAAGATAAAATGCTTTAAATAAATACATGTTTACCACAGTTTGGTGTTCTGTTTTCTCTAGGTGCAATGCAAAATAAACCACTAAGAACCTGCTTGAACCATTCTCTAGCCCAACCTTGTGGTGAGGACATGGCTTGTGTATCCAACATGAGGCCCTCCTTCAGCTTGCCAGACTCAAGCTATATTGTGATGCCCTATTAACTGCGAATCAACAGGCTGACTGTTGTTTACTGGGTGGAGGTGTTAGGGAGACAAGGCTGCTAAATGTTGATACGTTGTATAACATGATAAATTATGGAAACAGCTGTTAAATATTACTTGAGGTCTTATCCGTATAGAAACTTTGCAAATAGAGCAGAACCTAAGAAAAATAAAGCATATCTTAGCCAAAGATTGGAAGCAGGAAATTCTATGCTGATTTGTTCTATTACCTTTTAATCATCTTTTGTAGTGCAATTCTAAGCATGTTTATTCCGAAATAAGTTCTATTGAAATAAGTACATTTAGGATTTCAGCCATACAGCACAACCCTATTATGTTGCTCCAGGAATAAGTTCCTTTGAGTTTAATGGGTCCCCCACACATATAAACAGGGCACACTGGATTGCAACTTCAGGCAAGAAACACTCACCCACTTGTTAATATGAACTATGGTAAGCTGGTTATCTACAGACTCAAAAATTACTGATTTACTATATTATTATTATTATCATGGCTAGATTGGAGCATGTTGTGGAAATTATATGCAAGATAAGGCATGAGTGACCTGCATCCACTTTCTGATTATGACTCAATCTAGATACACAGGCATGAAGAAGACTAGAGTTTGACTCTAGTGCAGGGAGTTCTAGCCCTTATCTGAGATCTGTAAATACTGTTTCAGCTCTATATCATGACTGTGTATGTCTGAACATTTTGTTCAAATAACAGAAGTAATAATGTAATAAATCATAACAACATCAATATAATAAATAGGTTGCTGTGTCTTAATCACCACAAAATTGTGGTTATTATTATTTTTTTTTTGGTATCAATTTTATTATCTTTCTATGAGCAGATGGTGAAAATCTAGATTCTGAATATTCAGACTATATTGCTAATATTAACAAGCATAAAAACACTTACATGAAGAGGAATCTCTCCAGAAAGGATTTTCTCTTCCTGTTTCAGAAAAAGAAAAAAATAATAAAATAAAATAAATAAAATAAATAAAATAAAATAAAATAAACCGAAACAGAACAGAACAGAGCAAAGCAAAAAGCAAAGCAAAGCAAAGCAAAACAATGATGCAAATGGAAAGATCCTACTGAGGATAAGTAAGAAGCAATTTAAGAAACATCTAAATCTAAAAATTTTAATACAATTAATAGTTTTTCTCTAACATCCTACTTTAATGTATTGCACCAACATGAAATTCTGGAAAACTGCCTTAAAATTAGATTGATTTCAAGGTAAAATGTGCGAGTGAACATTATTTCCAATACTGTTCTACCTGGAATACGACAGAAGCCTTTTTTCCTTCTTGCTCTCCATGACCTTTATTTTTACCAGCTTTTTTCTAGAACTGAAAGGCCAAGAATACAGGAAGCTATCTTATTCCAGATCACTCCATTTCATCTAAGATATCTGACTGACAGTGTCTCTTTAGTGTTAGGCAGAGGTCTTCCATACCACCTTCTGCCTGGTTACAGGCACATTGGCTTTTGTCTCCTGCTCAAATCTTACTTAAAAATTAAATGTTGACATATTTAGCAGCTTCTTTCTAGTCTACTGGGACCTGTGGGTGAAGCAGTAAAGGTCTGAATCTGTTCTTGTCAGGGATCCAATTTGAATAAATTATCCTCATGTTTGGTCTCTGGAACAAATACCCTTCAATTCAATCCTTCCTCCATTACAAATTCTAGAAGATTAGGACAGAAAAATTAAAGGGTTTACTGGAAGACAGAGACTGGCATAAGAGATTGCATTTCAGGGTGTACAGATATTTCGCAAGAATTCTGTAGGCTGATAAAATACTTTTACTTTGTCCTCTTTCATTCCAAAGTTCTGTTACCTGCTATGAGTCAGCCTTCCCCAATATGGCTTCCAAAGGCCATAACTGCTGAGAAATTATGAGAATTGCAGTCTAATGTTATCTGGAAGGCATAAGGCCAAGAGATCCACAAAATCCTGTATTTCTAAGCATTGCCTCTACTATTTATACCTACTACCTTTAAACTATTACAGTTTTCTCAATACCAACTTTGCACTACCTAAACCACTGAACAATGTTATGGTACAATGATGCTGAAAGAACAACGAATTTGTTATTCTTCATTCCCATCTTCCATAAACTGTGCCTTCAAGATGAGCCAGGATTTTGACTCCCAGAATTTTCAGTCAATATGCTGGTTTAAATTTTGTCTAAAGCTGATATTCTGAATATATTTTAAATGAGCATAGCATAGTACTGTTTTCAGATGTTTCTATTTCTCCAAATGTCATTTAATATTTAATACAAAAGGCTATCATGCAAATGTAAAATAAATTAAGAACTAAAATAATTTAAACCAAGAATAGATGATACTGAAGTCCTCATAATCCTACAAATTCAAGTTCCAATCAATGGATAACTAAAAAGACAAAATTCCTACCTTGCATACTTATACCTTATTTAAGAGAATCATACGTACATCTTGTGATCATTACAATGGTTTCACATACAATTTAACACAATATTTATTGAAGGTCCATGTCCAATTGCTTACTCTTGGCACAAATATGTATGTTAAAGAATAAAATTCATTAGCAGCCCATAATAGAAGAAGTGAGTTTATCTGACATAAAGCCTTGTTTACAGTAGGAACAGTGCACAAAATAACAGGAAGCATTATTTTGTTTCTGTTTTAACCAAACTGTATCTAGAAAGCAAGCTCACATGGTAGCTGCATCTAGATACAGGCAAATTAATTTTGTGCAATGCAAATAAAGAGGAAAATTGTGTGTTTGTGTGTGTGTGTGTGTATACAGAGAGAGAGAGAGAGAGAGAGAGAGTTTAAACTATATGTGAACAGGCTTAAATTTGTCAAAAATAAAATTTTCAATCCCTGTTGGGAAAGTTTATTCAAGAATATTTGAGCTGGAAAGCATAGCTAGAAAAAAAAATGGAAGAACAAGAATGAAATTGATCAAAACTTAAACCATCAAGAGGTGCTGTACAGAACTTCATTATTACTACCGCTTTATGTAGTTCACTGAGCGTTATAAGCTAGCCTAGAAATGTGTTTCTAGCCATCCATGCCCATTTAACAAATGACTACTTAATAAATGTGGCAGCAATGAAGCTAGTTACATATGATCATTGGATACGTATAAAATTTATTAATGAGCTCAAATATGAGTTCAAATCATAACTTATTTATATGTAGGTCTCTAGGCCAAGTCATAATATGAAGCCTCTGCATATGATTGAGAGAATAAACAAACTAAATAAGAACAGTAAACACTGCAGATTTTAATACAGAGCTTTTACAAGATAACCCTGGATATTTTATAATTATTCATTGAGGATATCAACACACACACACTGGGTAAGCTAAAAAAAAAAGGTATGCTTCTTATAATATAAATAAGCCCACTCAGGATCTAAAGATGCTTCCCATGCTACCTTAATTATAAGAGTAGACTGATTCACTACTACAGTGCTCACAGTTCCTACAGAACAACTTGGGATGATGAACAGAAGTAATTAGATCTAAATTTGTGTAGAAGTCAGTAGACCCAACTCAGAGTGGAGTGTGGTCTTCTCTACTCCTGTTTTCTAACAGCTAAGCAGCACTTGGAACATTTGTGAATGAAGCCATTATCTCTCTGAACACCTTCTAGGAATGAAGATGCTGTGCTCCGTTTTTGGCTTTAGCATCACTCAAAATTTGGCACAAATGCTGGGAATGTTATGAAGAATGATGACTATAGATGTAATTGAATTATCTGAGTGAATGAGCCAGCCTTATCTTCTATTCCAGCTGTTTTTCCATTCTCTCTTTCTTCATCCCTCTGAGTTTAGCCCCTTGTCTCTGACCACTTCTTTTATCCAAACCTCATGCTCCTCCCTTCTTCTTCTCTGAGTCTGTCTCTACTGCAGTGTGAGGTATGAAGGAAAAAGAAATACTTAGTGACATCAGCAGGCATTGTCTCAGGTGTCTTTGTGCTATTCCTTAAAGGTACAGAGAATTCTGATTCAAGGGTTGGGATTGGTGTAATGGTTGCTGATGTCACAAACACATTGATTTTTTTCTCCAAGCAATCTTGTTCTAAGTAGTAACTATGGAGCATTTGGGCGTAACTCTTCTTGACAAGGCTTAAGATTCCCAAGACAATCTATTATCTTGCTCTCTTTTTAAGTCTTCTTATGGTAAACAATTCAGGAAAAATAGAGCACTTTTCTAAATTCAGGGGAGGAGTGTCTTTCTCAGGTACAATCCCAAACTCCAGTGCCTCCCCAGCCAATATTTCTGAAGGAAGTTTTGCTACTTATTCCAAAATGAAACTAATAGGGAGAATCAAGCACATACTTAAGGCAGGCACTCAAGCAATCACAATAGAGGAAATGACAATGTGTGTGATGTCACAATACAAACCTTGCCCTTTTGTGCTAGCAATCTGGCATTGAACACAAGGATGTAAATCAAGTGGTTCATGTTGTGGTGTCATGATACACATTTCATCACTTGCTCCCCTACCCCTTGTATAGCCCATACAAGCTTACTGTGTATGGGCTTACTTACATACAAGCCCATGCATGCTTACTGTGGTTTGTAGTGCTGACTGATTATGTGCCATCAAGTCGGTGTCAACTCTTAGTGACTATATGCATAGATAGATTTTCTCCTTGACAATCTGTCCCCAACCTGGAACAGTTACAGCAATGATGGATACACTGTTGGAAGACCTGAAGGGCCAGGTTAGGGAGAGACTGTCACGGTGAACATCTGTGGTTGCTAAAAGTTGACACCAACTTGACATCACATAATACTGAGTTGCTTTAAACGCTTTTTCAGTAGAAAAACAATATAAAAATATTTTAGATATATGCATTAATATGATTATCATTACCTGTCTATGACACTTGCAGCACAGAAGTAGCTTTACATGGTCTTGTTCTCATTATTTCTTGAAGTAGCAATCAGTCACTTTGAGTCTATTAATTAGTAGTTAAATTAGAAATAATCATTTAGTAATCCTTTTTGCCTCATAGCAAGCAAGCATTATAATGGAGGATTTGTTCACACTTAAAACAAAGTGTGGAGGAATAATTTTACCTGACAGTCAAGAAGTGAATAATATTTAGTAGCCATGGTGCTTGTATTAAATTTCACATCTGGTCTGCATGTTTAAGTCTTTGAACTCTAATCCTAGGTTATTGTTTTTTTCCTCCCCCTGCAGCTATGTATCTCCTAAAGCTGCCTTGCCTCTCTTTTCTTCTGTCTTTCTCATTGCTGGTTATTGGGCTTGAGGTACAGGAAAAACATGTGATATCTGAGTCTTCTTTTGTATAACTAACAAAAATATCTGAATGTTTAGTTCTTAAAAACAAAAACCCAAAAAACAAAACATGCAATCCCACATTATGTGCTACATGAGTCTGTAATATCTGGCTCAATTAAGTCACCATAAAGTTATAAGTATTAAGTCAGCAAGGTAGCCAGAGTATTTTGTTGTATGAGAAGAGAAGCTAAATCAGAGTGTATAATACCAAACACAGCAGAATTTTAAACCATTTCCACAAAATAAACTTTTGTGTTCATATTAATTTATCAGCATTTCCAAAAACAACGTGAGCTGTGTTAAACCCTATGTAATAAAAAAGTGACTAATTCTACTGGGATGTCCTACTTATAGGCATTAATACATTCTATATAATGTATTAATTAAGCTATATATAAGCTTAAACCATGATCTATATCTCTTTGTCCCCAAAAGCATAATAATTACAGTAATCCTTGTCGATGCAACATCTTTATTTTCCTGTACACGAGTGTTTCTCAACCATGGCAACTTGAAGATTCCTGGCTGGGGAATTCTGGGAGTTGAAGTTCACACATCTTCAGGTTGCCAAGGTTGAGAAACACTGCTGTAGACCAATTACACCCTTCCCCAAGATGGTGCCCTCCAGCTGTGTTGGGATAAGACATGGTGCCTAAGATTTCTAGAAGTAATAGTTTTCTTAAATCATTTGAAGGACATCAAACTGAGGCAGGCTGGTCAATGATATATTTATATCAGTGCTATCACAGTGAGAACAAACATAATTTTAAAAATTCTGTTGGATATAACAAGCAGAATTTTCAGAAAGCGGGATTAGGAAGGCTTGGTGCTTGTATTATGACCATAAAGCTAGTGGATTAATGCATAAAGGTATTCACAACCCTTCAAGCAGCTTTGTGGAGCTCTAATACTGTAGACAGATGGATTTTCAACAGCAATTACATCATTCTATCATTACTGGACCTGTCCCCCTGTGTTCAGATGGTAGTATGCCATGAACGGAGCATAGGAAAAAAGTAATGAATAACCTCTGAATATGGAATATTTTAATAAACAAATATTGGTGACTCAGACAAGTAAGGGTAAGAGTGTGTTACTAAAGAAGACAATAATTCTAGTTTCTTCAGATTCACAAGCCAATCAACCTATGAGATATCCAGACTAGAATGATCTAACAGCCATGTGTATGTATGCATGTGTTTTGTAAAAGCACCACTAGTCAAGTCTAAAGTTGACACAGGACTGTTCTAAAACAGCCTTCTGTAACCTGCTGTACTTTTAAGTCCAGCTTCCAAAATTCAGCAATTATGGATCCAACAAACTCACCTGGAAGAACCAGGTTGGAGAAGATAGCTGTGGCATGTTCACTGATAGGCTACTTCCAGTGTCTTAGAATGATTCTGTCAATAGCCTAGCAACAATACAGAAAATGCTAGTGTGACACGGCTTTAGTTCCATTCCACAGCTATTCCAACAAGCTCCTATTCAGAAGTGCTACAAACTCCCTTAGCCTGGGCAAGCTGTGGCAGGTTACTAAGCTTAACCATACATTGATGAACATGAAACAAAATGTATCTTAGTATTTTACCTAAAATTATAACACTTTCAACTGCCTCATAAAGAGGAAGAAAACTGTTATGTTATAAAACATATTTTGCATATTTTGTTCTCACAACCACCCAAAGGGCACACTACAGCACATTATATAATGAAGAATGGTAATGATGGGAAAGGGATAAACATCTAATTCTGCCACACTGCTTCACTAATCCAAATGATAACACTTCAAACTCCATTTTATTAGAAATGAAATTCTATTAAAAGTGAAAATATCAAATCACATCTCCTCTCTGTTGTGAACTTTACCCTGAACATTAAGTTGGCTATGTTCAGAGGTGCTACTGTTAAAACCATATTACTTAACCACCCCTACTTCAGCTCATTCTTCTCCCACATGAAAAAAAAAAGGAGGGGGGGCATTAAAAAGTTGAATATATTCTATCCCAGCATTGGAAACAAAAACAGTATTATTTTACCCCTAAGTAAATTAGATTTTTTTCCAGCTTACATACCAAACTATGTCGCTAATAGAACTATTAATCTGATCATCAACTTATAGACTAATATTTCTGATTGTTTGTTTACTTGCTAAATCTCCATTCCAGCAATGCATTCATGTAATATTCCTCATGTCAATTCCTAAAATACATGAATTTCCATCCATAAAACAAAGTATTTTCTCAAGCTAGTTCTGCCTAAAGTGCCATAATGGAACATGCCATGATACATTTCAGGGCCAAAACATAAACTTTAAATATTTTTTTTCTATCCTCTCTCTATATGTTACTGTAGTAAAATACAGCAGTATCTTTGTTTTATTTCACCTGCTGCCCCCTACAGGATAGGATGTCAAACAGAACTGCTTTTGATGGCTGATAAAATTATATCGCTCTTGAGTGATAGATTACTACAGAAGGTGGTAAAGGAAAATGAAAAATGGAGACCTTGGGGACCAGAATAGATTATGACTGGAAGGGTCAGGGAAAGCTTGAAAAGGCAGCCAAGGTTTTTTTTTTTTTTAAAGCAATAGTTTGAGTAGATAAAAACATGGAAATCAAACATGAAAAGCAGAGAAAAATGTGGTTATTGCTGCTAATATTAATGTATTTCTCTCAACCACTTTCACTTTTAGCACTTAACTTAAGCAAATGGCAGTGTTATTACAGTGTATGACCATCTCATCTCAAATATGATGTAAAAAAAACATTTTATTTTTCTATTGTAATATATCAATTTTCAAGCAATGTCTTCAGGAAAATATTTCCAATACAATCTTTTGAGTTCTACTATAATTTCTATCCACTCAAATGCAAATACAGGTCTATATATACACAATCATGTGCCAAGGACACAGAGGTTTGGCCTAGACTAATGTTTAGGGTTTTTTTCCCCTTAAACTAAACATTATGCATGAATGACTGCATATTTATAAAAAGCTCATTCATGTAAAACACCATTTTTAAAAGGTTACAAAATGTTAGCAAGCTGCAACTCCAGATTACAAAAGCCATTACAGGCAGATGTATTTTTTCAATTGTATACCTGGCTTTTTATCTCACAACTTATCTCACCCTTTTTATTTTAAAATGCAAAAGACAGCAATCTTAAAATAATTATTTGGAAGTTCTGAGTCTTCCTCCCAAGCGTACAGTACTAGACTACAACAGTAATATTTAAAAAAAAATGTTCCCAGTGTCTACTCCAGATTTTTTTTTTTCAATTCCAAAAGCATGGTTGATAGGTAATGATCACGTTACTCTCCAGTTAATGAAAAGGTATAAAGAGAAGATTATAATGTACCCATCATGCCATCTGCTGATCCAAGTAGACATGCAAGCTGTTTCCTCTTTAGGTTCTTATATGGAAATTTAGACGGTGCCTTTTCAAAAGTCAGTACGCTTCCCTTTTGTTATCTGATCAAATACAAATGAATATTTACCCCTGAATGCTGGCTTCTGATTCCAGGAACAGAGATGCAAATTCAGGATCACTCTATTTACACTTTAGCATGCCCGGGATTCAGTTCTTGCCAGCAAAGTTTCTAAGAGCACGCAGGGCAATTCTTTTCGGTTCCTCTCCCCTCCAGAAAATGAATGAACGAATTCGCAAGAGAGCTATTAAAGATGCGCCGGCACCGGTGGCGTAGCAATGCTCGTGTTCGAATTTTCTAATTGCCGTCTGTCTTTCTTTCTTTAAGACGAGCCGCGTGCTTAAATATAATTCAATCGCACGTCGCACGGAGGAGGAAGAGCGGGGAGAGTTGCGGGGGCAGAGACAAGCACTTGCTCACAGATATAAAGGGAAGGGGGGGGGAACCCACCGCACGAAATCAGACAGAAAGCATTACCGCACAAGTGATTAATTCCACTTAACCACTGCCATATATGTTATTTAAAAGTGCACATAAGGTATCCGAGGCTGACGTCCGGGAATGAAGGGGAAGAGCCCAGCTGAGCAAACCCCTCGGCTTAACCAGAAAGGTGCACCATGCACGCACATTTTATAAAACGCAGACAAAAGGCAACCGCCATGCTCTAGAGAAAAGAAATCGCTCGGAAACAAGGCGCTGGAAAAGTGCAGAGCGAAGGGCACGTGCGAGGAAGCAAATGCGGGGAATCGGGGGAAGGGTCGCTCAACCTTGGTTGGAACCGGCACCAAAAACAAAAACAAAAAAAAGCACCGTCCCCTGATGCAGGGTTGTTTGTTTTTTTCCCACTTCTGGTGTTGGGCGGGAGGAAATAACAAAGACGGGGGGGCTCATACGCCTGCCTGCTTTGTTCCCAGATGATGCCAGGAAGGAGGGCGAGAAGGCGAGGCGGCGGTGGTCGGGCTGGCTTCCTCTCCCCAAAACACCGAAAACCCGCCTTGGGTACCTGTAGCAGCTGCTCCTCTCGGACCACGTAGCTGTCCAGCGTCTTCGCTGTCTCTGCCTCCGTCCTATGTGCCTCGGCGAGCGCGGCAAGGCAGACTAACAGCGATGGGAAGGAAGAAACGGTAATTTATAAGCGCTTTCTTCCTGACCTCTCGTGTCTGTTCTCTAATGAGCGAGCGCTGAGCATCACCCATCCTGGTGAGTGGAAAAACACCAGCTCCGCTTCAGCT